GGTCGGGATTCGATAATTCGGATGGGGAAATCAATGGCGGAGGGTCGCCGGAGTGAGGGGGGTTCCAGCCCCAGTGCTATGAACCGGCCCGTGGGTCGCTGAGCTTGAGGTCCGACCGGTTGCCGGCGAAATGATGCCGGAATGGCCTGTCTGGCCAAGGTCTGCGGGGTTGCTGTCTGAAGGGTGGAGATTGGTTGCTGTATGAATGGTGGAGGTGGGTTGAAAATGTGGCCCAGAGAGTGTGGGTTGAAGGTTAGGGGAAACGGTGGGCTGGGTAGCTGAAAAGGATTGGGCTGTGTTTTTATGTGATTATAAACAACGATATAGTGGGAGTTTAGTTTATTATTAGTGATGATTTGAACGTAAAACATGTACGAAATACTCAACAATGGCCCCGGTCCGGGGTGGACCGAGGTGAAAAGCTTCTATGAGCTGTTTCGTGTTTCATTGTTAAAAAGTGCAGGGATCGAATCCCGTACAAGTATCACAAGCTTGTTATTTATAGTAACTTTTTAAGATACATTTCAGGATTCGTGCATTGCTTTTTCCATAAAGCTACTTTTTGGTGGGCGGCAGGAGTAAGGGGTCCCACTTGAATGATAGTAGATCTCGTAGTTTGCGAGAATGGCGTGTAGGCGCCTTGTCATCTGTTTATGAGGTGGTGACCTCGGTTCATACTGACTCCAGTTCTGGGATGACTTCGATTGCAAAGATTACCTCGGCTTTTTGTTACTTGGCCGATTCGGTAGACGGACCAGGATAACTGGTAGCCTTGTTATTGTTGGTGATATTTCACTTGATATGCGGTTTAAGGGTTGCTAACTTCGGGTTACTGAGTTGGATGATAACAGATAGGCCCCCAGTATCGGCGGGCATACGAAGTGATGTCTGTCGATACTGCAAGACGGATTGAGACTTCGACTCGGTAACAAGTTATAGGGGGGACCTGCCTGTTTATAGACGCTCACACGTGTGAAATTACCGAGGTGGACTGTGTATTTCGAGGTGGGGATTAACTTCCGAGGTGAGAACACTTGATGAAAATTCGTGCCAAATCTGGGCAGTAATGAGAAAGAGTTCAAGGGGCGTGTCGGTCAGTAATTAAATGTGCAGAATGAAGAGTCGCACCGTAATGGTCTTAAGTACAGTAACGGCTATTTTAATAAAATAATGGCCACGTGACTGCACCGTTTGAGAAGAAAAGTTGCGTCGATTACACGTGTCGTCGATTGAGAGTTCTAACGGAAATTAGGGCTTATAAATGGGACATCGAGAATTTCGAACAGATTTTCTTCACTTTTGCTTTAGTCTTCAAATTGTTGCAAATAGTAACCTTGCTATCAAATTTCTTTTACAAAGTCGAGAGTCGCTCCTTGTGCGCTATTTATTTGCAGATTCCTTGGTAAGTTTTATTGCCGATTCTTCATTTATTTCTTTGTTTTGTATTCTTCTTTCCGTTCAATGGCTCAAAGGGAAAAGGGAAGGCGGTCGCGAGTTCTTCGAGTACCGAATCAGTTCCGCTCGAAATATATCATGATTCGGAACTGGTTGAACTGGCTTTTGAATATCATCGGTGGGATCCAATGTTGGTGAGGCACTTAGATATTAGACCTAACGATGAGGATGGCGATCTTGTGGTGAATGCGGCTGATGTCGAAGAACCTCATTAGAGGAGGCCAGTAAGGACGTGGTCTGACCCGAAGGTTGATTTTGAAGGTGAACCCAGTATTCTAACGGACGCCGATGTGGTGATGCTCCGGGAACAAATACGGATTCCACCTTCGGTGAAAGTATTTGCGCCCTACCCCGGGGAAAGAATAACTAGCCCTCCCCCGGGTTGTGTTGGTGTATTTGCGGAGAGCTTGAGGTCATGGCTGAGGTTCCCCTTGCCAAATTTGATTACAGAGTATCTCCGGAGTTGGGGGTTACCTCTGTGCCAAATAACACCAAATAGTTGGAAGAAAATTATAGGACTGATGGTGTTGTTACATGAAAGGGGTGAGGGTTTGCCATCGTGTGAAGAGATTAGAAGCATTTATGCTTTTAAGAAGAGTCCGAAGAGGAGGGTGGCGGAGTCGTCTTGTTGTTTCTTTGCCGGAGTAAAACCCCACCATGGACTTCAGGTCGGTGAAATCATAACCGAAATTCTGGAAACACTACACAGCTTCCAAGAAGAGTGGCTTTGGGTTGGCAGGGAATGGCAGTCCGAGAGTTTCTTCCATGAACCTCAGATTGACGGGATGACAATCCCGATGAATATTCATAGTGGAGCAAGTGAGTTTATTTTATCCTTCGTTTCTTGCGGATTTTTCTGATGTAGGTTTTGTTCTGTGTACTAACAGGTTGGAACTTTTACCCTTTGTAGAAAAAGAGGCAAAGCAGAAAGAACCGAAGCTCAGCCCGAAATTCGGTGGAAATTACTAGTGCTTGCCGGTCTTGATAAGGAACTTCGAGATTATAGAAAACTTGTGATAGACTCGAAGCTTGAAGCAGCTGGTCTTTCTCTCAGAGTTTCTATTTCAAAATTCAACCCCGGTAAGAGAAATTTGATACTTGGTAGTTTTACTATTATTTCCATGTATATGTTGATCGGTTGATGATGACTTCGTTTGCCTTCTATCTTGGTGCAGTATATTATCCGTTGCTTGGGTTTTTGGGCTACCGGACTGTCAAGGAAGCCAAAGAGTTTAGGCGTCGCTATCCAAACAAGGATTTGCAATCTAAATTTGGTAAGAGCCGAGACTTGCGATTGACTGACGCTATGAGGCGGGATTTGGTTCGCGCTTTGGTAAACAGGACTGCCGGCTAGAAAACCACTGGTAAAAAGCCTACCGAAGTGGGATCGAGTGCGACGTCGGCGGCTATCCCAGAAAGTCCAGAGTCCTAGCAGGAGGTTGTACCAACCGAGGTGCTGCCAGTTGTGAATGCTGATGCGATTAATCAAGCGGAGCCCGAGCCCGATGTGATAAGGACCGAGATGGTCGTGGTTGAGCCAACGCCCTCCGAGGTGCCGACAATAGGGCAATAAAAACAACCATCTTCTCCGAAATCCGTAGAGTCCACACAAGAAAAGGAAGAAAAGAAAATTGGTGAAGATGTCTGATGTTGGAGCTTCTTCCGGTGGAGAAGAGGTCGAAGAAAAAACACGACTCCGGTCGTAAAGCTATGGAGAAGGGTAGTGGCGAGTCTCCGCTGTTTGAGAAATCCTTCATGTCCATTGACGATGAGCGAGCTGCCAACGTTAAGGTGCCTGAAGGTGTCGTGGAGGAGTGGTTTACTACATTTCAATCTGTCAAATCTCCACATATGTCTTCGAGGATCGACATGCCAGAAAATGCTAAGAGTGCGGCGTGGGTACCTTTGATGGTGTGGGACCCTAAGTCCGAAGTGGGAGTCTCTTCTCTGTCAAGCGTCGATAAGTTGAGCTATGCTAAGGCGTGTTTGGGCTGAGCTTTGGTAAGTCTGGTGGCGGTTGAGGATGACCACGGTCGAATTGCTGCCCAGTTGGAGGGGAAAAAGCAGACCGTGGTTGAGTGAGATGCGATGATTGCGTCTTTAAAGAAGGAGACGGCTAAAGTTGAGGCCGACATGAAAGGTAAAAATTCTGAACAAGTTGCTCAGTTGGAGGTGGCGCAGGCTGAGATCTCGGCATTGTCCGAGGAGAAGAAGGCCTTTCAAACCAAAGTGGCCGAACTCAAAGAGGGCCTTGCCTTTGCCGAACAGCATTCTAAGGCTTTGGAAGCCAAGGTTGAGGAAGTGGAGGAAAAACTGCTGCAAGAAAAGACTGAGCATGACACAACTCGGAAAGAATGCTCCGAGGTTCATGAACTTGTGGGCCGACAACGGGATGCTCATCAAGCTGAGATGGCGAAGTTGGAAAAAGAAAAATCTGAATATGGGGAGTTCATGTATGAGAACGGTTTTCAAGCCAGGAAAGACTCGGTTCCCGAGGTTACAGCCGTCCAAGTCGGTGTGGAGGAGGCTGCGGACGGCGTCGACACTGATGTAGGAGAAGTAGGCCCAAATTTGGAGCTAGAGATGAATACCTGTCTGACACTTCGGTGGGTCATATGTTAGAGGTATGCTGTAAAATCTATGTTTTGCAGATTCTATCAATTCCATTTTGATCTGGCAATCATGTTTCGGTCAAAGTACATATGTTTGCAGTTTATTTATTTATGCAATACATACTCCATGTCTTATATTGAGGTAGTGTGGTTCGAAGAGTTTCGAACAGAAAGATCACCTATCGGTTCCTTATAAGACTAAACTATTCCTTCACAGTGTAGACTGGCAGTGAGACCCCACTTAGAAAAAGACTGTAGTGTATTCTCGATTCAGTTGGTCTTTGACTGAAGGATTACACTAGCACATATGGTAAGTGTTGAACAGGACCGTGGAAGGCAAAGGTTATGAGACTCACTGACCGTTGTTGTAACCTCGCCCTTCAGTGATTGATGCGTTCTCTTAAATTGTAAATGAATAAGAGGTTGATTAATTACTTTGTCAGTAATTTAATTAATCAACGGACGTTATATCTTAAACATAGGGAGGTAAATTGATCAATCAGATTAATATTATTTAATCATGGAGGCTCGATTTTATTGGTAAAATAGTGGCTAAATGGGGAGAATAATAATATTACTCTAGTGGGATGTTTTATTATTTAATTCGATTAAATAGGAATTAATTTTATTTTATATTAATTAATTAATTAAAAGAATAAAATTCCTACTAGAATCTTCTCTTGGGATT